TGTGGCTATGTCTGTCGTCACAAAAAATTTATGGTGTGGTAATATAACCAAACGAGAAACCATCCATACAGTCAGCCAGCCAGCCAACCAATAGACATGGTGGAATGGGAGCATATCAGACATGGGGAGACCTACCCCAGACAATGGAATTGAACTATTTCAACCCCATCTACCAGTCTGATGTAATGGAGTTCAGCTTTCACACATACATTATAACTTATAACTAGCCGACTCGCTGTCTGCATAAATATGTCCTGTACCCTCCTCGGTACTGGGTGCTCCCTTTTACAAAGCCAGGGTATTAATTTGTACTTATGTAAGTAAATCTTTTTTCAAAGTTGACCCCTGTCTGTAATATTTGTATACACATTTGAGTTCACTCAGACACACACACACACATGCCACCATCCTGAGGAGCTGGCGAGTTTACGACTGCATGCCAATGGATGGATATGAACTTTTTGTAAGTCATGGTAAGAGTGCCAAGACATATGGCTTGGCATGTCTAATTTCAATCGCCTTTTCCTAAGTACTCGGCGTCCGCTTTATTGAAATATGAGTTTGCTTTTTGCAGGTTCTTTTTTCCACCTTTATTCCAAATAAACAATACACTTTTATAAGAGTTCGGAGGTTTTTGTAGGAATAACATGGACTTTAGGCATTTTAGGTCATCCAATGGCTATGGAGTATTTTGGCATTGCTTCTATTTCGTCTTCATCATCCACTTCCACCCCTTCAAGAGTGCGTTGTCAATGGTGACAAATGTCTGTATGTATGGCAACAACACCAACATTTTTATATCCTCCACCATTGTATGGAGGGTATATTAAGTTTGTCATTCCGTTTGTAACACCTCGAAATATACATTTTAGACCCCACAAAGTATATATATTCTTGATCAGCATAAAATTCTATGTCGATTAGCCGATTAGCAATGTCCGTCCATCTATAAATCTGTGGAAATCAACCTAGCTTCCGAACGAAATGAAGTAAGTTGATAAAAAATTACTCAAATGTGTATTATGTCTCCAGGACTTTTGGTATTGAAAATGGGCCATGTAGGTCCACGTCTTCGTATATCCCCCATATAACGGTACCTCTGATAGTCGGTATTTTGATGATTTTAGCGACATTATTTACCGGAATTATTTCAAATTTGGTGTTCAAAGTTCGTAATAAATACTACAGCCTATGACAGAAAATTGTCTGTGCAGGTCCATGTCGTCGTATAGCCCCCATATAATGGTAACCTCCGATATTCGGTATTTTGATGATTTTAGCGACATTATTCACCAGATTTTTTTTTTTTCAAATTTTATATTTGAAGTTCTTAATGGATACTACAGCCACGTTTTATAACCCCCACGGTACCTTCCTATATTCGGTATTTCGATGATTTTAGCTACATTATAAAAGATTTTTTTCAAGTTTCGCATTTGAATATTGTAATTGCTTATGGCAAAAGTTGCCTATGCAGGTCCACGTCGTCGTATGGACCCTAACATACGGCTACATTCGGTATTTTTAAGATATTAACAGAATTTTTAACGGATTTAATTTTATTTATTTTTTTGCCAAATTTGTACCAAATGGTGGAGGGTATTCAAAGTTCGGCTCGAACATACAGCTTTTTTACTTCTTCCATTTAATTTAAATACCAAAAAATTGTGGTTATCGGTCCACTATATGACAAAACCCCTTGGAAATAATGTACTGTCATAAACCCATAAGTCCGAAAAGAAGTCCATTGAATCCTCAAAGGTTTCTAGGACCTTGAAACTGTTAATAACATTGGGTCACAAAATGGAGACAAAGTCTGGGGCCTGAAATGTTACTTTTGAAGAAGTGGGTGCAATAAGAATCCTAATGTATAGATTCGAAGGGAGACAAACTTTAAAGTTAGTTGAGGCACAAACAGACGTGAGTTTGTAACTTGAATTTTTTTTTTGTGAAGAAGAATTTTCTTTAGTATATTTCGTCCTTTAGCTCGATATGATCTGGTTTTTTTTTTCTACATTGAAAGGAACCATAAAATGATAATAAACCATTAAAGAAAGGACAAAAAATGGACACACCTAGTAGAGCTGTTTATATTCGGAATTTATAAAATATGATGCATTGCACGGTTTTAGACCGACTTAAAATTAAAATTGGATTTAGCCGAAATATGGAAACTATGTATATTTGAGGGAGTTATTTTTATGTTGTATGTGGTTTCTCGTGCCAAATATCATTGGCGTAGAATGGTAAGTGCAAAGACTTGGATTCATTAAAAATATTGGCTATTATTTAACATTTTAATCTTGGTCAGGGCAGGAGAAATAATGAGCAGTCCAATCTGCGAGGGCAGTTAAGTTCTTAGGCTACCAATGAAAGAGAATAGTTAGATTTTCAAAGTTATTTTTTTTTTACTTTTATCGCGGTTTTCGTGCTATTCTAAGAAGTTTCCGAACTGCCTTCGTAGGGTGAGATAAAAAACTGCAACAAAGTCAAACGCCATAATTATTACATTCTTTTTTAAGCTTTTTTGAATGAAAGCAAAAAATGTCGGAAATAGCATCAAATTTTCGAATAAGTTTAGATTGGTTCGAATTGGTCACCTTTGGCACGAATTATGGCCTTCAATCGGTCAATGAAACCGTCACACGCTGCCCGAATAATGCTTTGCGGTATTTTGGACCATTACCGGCGAAGCGCTTGCTTAAGGTGATCGCCACTTTGGTATTTTTTTAGTGCCAACCTTGCTTTCCAAAATACTCCAGACACAATTGTCCAACGGATTGGTATACGGAGATTTTGGTGGCCATTGTGCGCTGGACATGAAGCGAGAAACCTCATTTTGTAACCATTCTTGGGTGGTGCGTTCTGAGTGCGATGGTGCTGAGTCCTGTTGGAATGTCCAAGGTCTGCAGCCAAAATGTTTGCGTGCACAAGGCTTTAATACGCCCTCCAGAATATTTTCGCGATAATATTCGGCATTTATTCTGATGCCACGGTCGATTAATACGAGCGGAGAGCGGCCATTGGCTGTTATGGCAGCCCACAACATTACCATGGCCGGTGCTTGAGTTCTGCCAACCGAAGGTGCACATTTTCAGCTGACCTCTTCGGCAAGTAAACACGATCATTTTGTTTGTTTACAAACTGCTGGACAACGAATGTATTCTCATCGGAGAAAACCAAATTCGGCAGTTCACCACTTTCGGCCAAGCGAAGCAACTCGTTAGCTCTTTTGAGTCTATTTTCTTTCTGTTGCGGTGTAAGTTTTTGCACTTTTTGGAATTTCAATGGCTTTGCCCAGAGCTCATTTTTCAATATTTGCAGAATGTAATATTGCTATATGTTCAGCACACGAGCCATTTTTCGGCCACTGCGACGCGGGTTTCGATCAAGTCGCTTCTTTACTTTTCGAACCCTTTTTGGTGATGTTGCTGTTTTCTTCCGTCCACTTCCTCGACGCCCGGCTACGCTACCAGTATCACTTCAACGAGCGATGGTACGAGTGTTCTAACGATGCCCACTTGTGGTTTTCCAGCGAAATAGAAAGAAATCACACTATCACGCTTGAATTCCATCACGAATAACTTTTTTTCTGGAAAATTCTCACCAAAATGCTTTTGTACGCTTGTAAAAAATATAATGAGCTGTCACTGAAAGATTCTAACATCTGTCGGACGAGGGGCTTAGAAATGACAGCAGTCTGATGTTGGTTGCAGTCTTTTCATCTCACCCTGTACATATATAAAAGAGTAGTGAAATAACTGACTGACTTAGAATCGGAGACGAAAAGACTGAGACTAGAGTTTTGAAATTTTGCATGAAGGTTAGTCTTGGCGTTTAAGCATATGATTTTTCGAAATTCGTACCAAAAAGGGAATGAAAAATACTACAATTTACTAAAAATCTATTGAACAAATTGAATGAACTAAAATTCAGAAATTTGGAATGAGGGTCACTGATGAATTGAAATGCTACTAAAATAAAAAAGGTGTCATCTAGTATTTTGTGACAGAGCTAAAAACTTGAATTTTTTTGATGGAAAAAATACTAAATTTGGAATAGTTTGCATTAGGGCGAACAGATTAAGCTGAAATTTTAAAATTAGGCATTGTGGTCCCCTTTGGAGGTAGGTTTGTGATAAAGGGCTGAATGCGTATTAAAGTGCACGAAAAATACTAAATATTACTATATTTGGTACAATTTGTTGTTAAGTGAAGAGATAGGTTTCGGAAATGTGTACTATAATTGTACGAAAAGTACAAAATGGTACTATATTTGATATTGGGTGAATGGATACAGGTAGGGATAAAATTCGGAAATTTGGTATTTAGATTACTGATGGTATCTTTTATGTGTGGAAATTTGTTCCAAAAATGTAAGAATAGTACTGAAATGTGGTTGGATGTTCATGTATAGCCTGGGCATATGGAGATGGCCCCCATACCCCCATAGCCCCCATACAATTATACCGCCATACTGATATTTTTGAACAAATTTTACTATAAATAGGCAGTTTGTGTTCCCAGTATGTAGGAAATATTTTTGCAACGAACTGTCCATATTGATCCAAGTTAAGGAATAGTTCCCATATTCGGTGTTTTGATTATTTGTGTCTTATTTTTCACCGGAATTGTATGAAATTTCGCATTTGGAGTTCGAAATTGATACTAGCCATACTGACAGAAAATTGCTTATTCAGGTCCACGTCTTCGTATAACCCCCATATGATGGTATTTCGATAATTTTTTCACCGGAATTATTTCAAATTTGTCCATTTTTCGCACGCGTCCGATCTCTTTTGTAAATATGACGATATAACGAGTTAGAATTACATTGGATACTCCCTTCGCTAAATATATGATTTGTATACTTTTTGCAAAATCGCCTGTAGTAAGGCCTTAGCGTTATGAGTAAAAAGTGTCAGGCTTTGGATCAAGGGAATCGAGGGAATCAAAGATAAAATTTAAAACAAAAACTTGCATAATTTCACATATACTTACTTCCAATAGCGATATAAAGATTATAAATATCGGCGGAGGCCACCAGCGTTTTTCATCGGCTAAATATTTTTCATCAGACGAATCATGGTTGCCCTTAGACGCCATCGAATTTGGCAAGAATCGGAACTTCATTGGTAATTCATAACAATGAACTGTGTGTATGCAATATAGACCCTGAGAATTGAATTCCAAATCTTCGTCGTTCGCTCTACTGCAATGGCATTTAACATTCAGATATACAGCAGCTCCAACGTCTAAATCCGCTCCATTTGATGGTGGCGTTGATTTATTTGATGTCCGCGTAAATTGGGTTGGCAACTCACTCGGAATGTCGACGCGAGTTGATGTCTGCAATTCGTTAGGCTTCGTCGTGACACCTAGCATATCCGGTTGTTTTCCAGGGGATATCATATCGTTGCAAATCCCTCATTTAATCTTTACACACACACAACATGCCGGAGACACATATACACACAAAGTGATATTCTTCTGACAAGGAGGAGGGCGGATGGTCATGGGCATGTTCTGGTGAACAACTCTTTCGGTTTGTCCGCTTGTCTCTGGTGGCGATGCTAATTTTAAATGGAAACGAAACGTTTTGTATAGTTGGGGGCTCATTTAGGCATCTGTTTGTGTTCCATTGTGACAGTGACACTGTTCCAATGTCTGCCTCGGCCGAGCAGCCGTCTTTGTTGATTTGGCGGCGCTATAAAATGCCACTATGTCACGTTGAAATGTTGTCGTATGTCACCTCCGCTACATGTGGATGTGTAATCTCAACCCCGTTGGCAACATCTCATTTACGCTAGAAATAGAATCGAAAGAGAAGGTAAAATCTTGAAGAAGAATAAAAAAACGATTTGATAAAATTACATTTTATTCAAGAATCACGAGATCATTTATTTTCTAGGGATGTTATTGACTAGAAAAAACAAAACCTAATAACCGAATAAATTTTTACAATGTACTGAGATGGAAAAAAAAATCCGTTACAAAATCCACGCTACAAAAGTGATAAATTTTTCGAGATCTATGTGAAATACAAATTACGGGAAAAGTGCGATATATGAAGGCTATCATCTTATTTAGCATTTCAGAAAAAAATTCCACTTAAATCGATTTGGAATTGAGGCAAAACTTCGATAAATCAAAATTTCAAATTACAACTACTGCGATTGAAAATTATCACTGAAACCTTTAAATGCAGAAAATCATCGGATTACTCTCATATGATAGATATATACCGTTTAAGATAATAATGGAAATAAAAGGTAATTTACTCAAAAAAATCATCGGGAGGTACCGTCAAATATTAGTTAATTAATATTATATAAATTTGTTAATGTTGGCCGAGAAATGTTTTTTTAACTACCTATCAATAATTATATACAACGGATACATGAAGGAAATCTTAAAATATACTTAATATGTCTAGCTTATCCAAAATATATATATTTTGAGGTATCCGATCAATATTTCGAGATGCCGAAAACCAAAATGGGATATGAAGTTGTCGACATGAAAATCAACTGATGAATAATACAACCTCAGGGATTGATTCTTAGCTTACAATAACTCCTAGTCCTCATGCAAAGGCAGCTCCAAGAGAACTTTCTTATCACAAATCAATGTGGGAAAGGAAATTAGCCGACTGGGATAATTTCGACATATAAGTCAGTGGATCCCAAGAAGACACTTTTCAGAGAGAGAGAGAGAGATAAAATCCAATTTTTTTATAATTACAGGAGATTATTTTGAAAGTAAAACTAAAACGAGTAAAAAATCAGCGGGACTGAACTTTTAATTCCCGCCACCATTTTGAAAGTTCCGTCTTAAAATACCGCTCAAAAAATTGTTATATGGGGTATATAAGAAGACGTAGTTCTGCATAAGTAATTTTTTGTCATAGTTATATGGTGGCTGTACGAAGATGTGGATCTGCATACGTAATTTATTGTCATAGGCTGTAGTACCCATTTCGAGCTTCAAATACGAAATTTGGAATAATTCCTTTGAAAAATGTCCCTAAAACATCAATATACGGAATATCGTGTGGGGGCAAGTCTAGTAAAAGAACGCTAAAATCATCAACTTAACCTGCCTGCGGACAAAAGACTGTTCTGAGCAAAATTCTTCCTCAGATTTCTCCAAACACCAAGCTTAAGATAATTCCTTTGAAAATTAAAGCTAAAATCATTAAAATATCGAATATTGGGGCTGTACCCACTGGCTAAAATCATCAAAATACCGCATATAGGGAGGTACGGTTATATGGACGAAGGTGTGTGTGTACATGCAATTTTCAGTTACACTATAAAATCCAAATACCAAATTTGAAACGATATCGGTAGAAAGTATAAAACAGATCATCAATACACCGAATATCTCGAGGTACAGTAATATTTGGCCCATACTCAACTCAAAACACCAAATTAGAAAACATTCTGGTGAAAATTGTAACAAAAATAATCTAAATTCACATACTGGGAACACATTTCACAATTTACAGCATATTGAAATTATGACTAAAAACCCAAAAAGCTTTAAATCTCTCGGTACAGTTATATGGGGCCTATACCCAAACGTGGTTCTGTGCAGCACATTTTCCATACCAAAAGTTCTGCAGACCTAAAACACATCTGAGTAAAATTTTATCAACCTGCTTCGTTTTATTCGGAACCTTGAATGATTTCCACAGACGGACGGACATCGATAATCGACATATGCTGATCTAGAATATATATTACTTGTGGGTTCTAAAATGTGTATTTCGAGGTGTAACAAACTTAATATATCCTCCATACTATGATGGGGGGTATAAACATGGATCTCATTATTCATATACAATATGATTTTAAATAATAGCTTTAAATATTATTCCCAATTTTTGCATTTACTGAGGCTACATAGTCTCCTTTTGTATCCTCGTTATAATCAATTTTATTGACTTGCTCCGATGTAGGCTCAAAATAACGATGTTTTCTTCATTCAAAACCGGTTACCTTTAATAAAGTAGCAATAACCGAATATTCACTTTACTTTTTCTTCACTTTAGTCTGACATCAGTCAACAAATGTCGTTCAGTAATTGGCTCAAGGTTAATTTAAATAACGAATACAATTGTGTACAAATGTACAATGTCACACCTTGCCACGGCGGGGATAGACACTTCACTTCGTTACACTAATAGGCCATTTCCTTTGCAAACATTCATTCGCTTTAGTGCAGTTATGAAACTTAAATTTATAGACCGCATGCACTTAAAATTTGTTTAAATTATTAGACAAGGAAATAAAAACAACAACAACAACCAAATGACGTACAAGAGCTATTTGTAGTTGGCATGCAAGTTTTGTACTTGCCAAGGAAATATATCATCACTGTCGCCATATCGTCGACTGACGCCGGCTAACATTGCCAGACATTTGAGTTGAAGTTGTGGAGGTCTAGTTGTCAATGGGAGTATTCATTCATTCCATCTAGGATTCACTGTGTGTGTGTGAGAGTGTGACGAATTTCCCCCTTTGTGTATACAGATGTTCAGTCGTGTGTATCGATTTGTCAGCCAAATGAATGGACACATATTTCACATTTAAACTTGGCTAACGAATTTTGTAAATTTTTCTAAGATTTTGCCAACATTTGCAGAGCACAAAGTTATATTCCCCGTAGATTTCTTATACATTTATATATGAATTATTTGAAGTTTTTGTGAGAATTTCCGGTCATAGTCAGATTAATGAATGCAAATAAAAGCAGTTCGGCTGGGTCGATCTTGAAGGAAGTTGGACAAAAAATATTGTGTTGATAGAAATATTGAGATGTGCCGAGTTTAAAAATCATCAAAATATCGAATATCGGGAAGTACCGTTATATGGGGGCTATACGAAGACATGGATCTGTACAGATGGAAATACCCATTACGCACTTGAAATATCAAATTCGTTACAATTACGATGAAAAATGAACACAATTCACAAAAATAGCAAATATCAGGAAGTACAGAATGGTACTTAAATACTAGGAACACAAACAGTCCTTTTAAAGCAAATTTAGGTTAACACTTTGACTAAAACGCCCAAAAAACTAGGCGGTACCGTTATGTAGATGCAAAAACAAAAAGTGGACTTATGTAACCAATTATCAATACCAAATATTACGTTTGACTAATTCCGTTGAATTTTGGATCATACCATACAGGGTGAGAAATTATTTAAGTTACAGTTCATTATATTGTTTACAAACCTACGAAAGCATTTTGGTGAGAATTTTCCAAAAAAAAAAAAAAAAAAAGAGATGGAATTCAAGCGTGATAGTGTGACTCCTTCATATTTGGCTGGAAAACCACAAGTGGCAATCGATAGAGCTCTACAGCATTGAAATGTGAATAAGTCTTTTGTGTCTCGTGCCATCGCTCGTTTCCGTGATACTGGTAGCTTAGCCCGACGTCAAGGAAGTGGACGGAAGAAAACAGCAACATCAGGAGAAATGGTTCGAAAAGCAACGACGCGACTTGATCGAAACACGCGTCGCAGTGGCCGAAAAATGGCTGAAAATGGTGAGCAGAACATATCGCAATATTCCATTCAGCAACTATTGAAAAATGAGTTCGGGGTAAAGCCATTGAAATTCCAAAAAGTGCAAGAACTTACACCGCAACAGAAAGAAAATAAACTCAAAAGAGCTAAAGAGTTGATTCGCTTGGCTGAAAGTGGTGAATTGCCGAAATTGGTTTTCTCCGATGAGAAAACATTCGTTGTCCAGCAGTTTGTAAACAAACAAATGATCGTGTTTACTTGCCAAAGAGGTCCGGTTGGCCATCACAACTCAAGCGCCGGCCATGGGCCGTTGGGTGTAGGCCGTCATAACAGTCCATGATTGCTCTCCGCTTAATCGACCATCGGCATCAGAATAAATGCCGAATATTATCGCGAAAATATTCTGCATGGTATATAAAAGCCTTGGGCACGCAAACATTTTGCCCGCCGACCTTGGACATTCCAACAGGACTCAGCACCATGGCACTCAGCACGCGCCAAACAAGAATGGTTACAAAATGAGGTTCTTCGCTTCATTTCCAGCGCACAATGGCCACCAAAATCTCCGAATACCAATCCGTTGGACTATTGTGTCTGGAGTATTATGGAAAGCAAGGTTGGCACTAAAAAATACCAAAGTGTCGGTCACCTCAAGCAAGCGCTTCGCCGGAAATGGTCCAAAATACTGCAGAGCAACATTCGGGCAGCATGTGACGGTTTCATTGGCCGTTTGAAAGCCATAATTCGTGCCAAAGATGACCAATTCGAACAAATCGTAACTTATTCTAAAATGTCATGCTATTTCCGACATTTTTTGCTTTCATTCAATACAATTTAAAAGAAAATGTAAAAAATATGGCGTTTGACTTTGTTGCAGTTGTTTTATGTCACCTTGTAAAGCTTCGACTAAAATAAAGCAAAGACATAGAATTATAAATAAAGACATTAAATGGTAAAGACTTGACAAAATCCATTCTGAGAAAATGGTGTGGGGCTAAAATATGTAGGGGAGCAGCTCAAGACAGAAGCATGCAAATAGTGAAAACACAAGTAAAGGACAAAATGACAAATAAAAGTTTGGGTAAAACAAAAATTTGATTTTAAAATGCCATTCCATAGGCCATTTCAATTAATTGCATAATCCTTTTACGATTTAAATCAATATTCATATTTTTGGCCACTGTTCAACAAGTATAATTTATATTTCCACAGAATTATGTCATTGTTTTATAAAAATACACACAAACAAAGAGGACATGATTGACGT